GGCTCGGTGCGGAGATGGTGGGGATGTGTTTCGGCCGGCTTGGTGGGGAGGTGCTTCGGCCGGATTGGTCGGGAGATGATGGGGAGGTGCTCCGGCCAGGTTGGTGGGTAGGTGCTTCGGTTGGCTCGGTGGGGAGGTGCTTCTGCCGGCTCGGTGGGGAGTTGGTGTGGAGGTGGTGGGGAGGTGCTTCGGTCCGCTCGGTGGGGAGGTGCTTCGGACGGGTTGGTGAAGAGGTGGTGGGGAGGTGCTTGGGCCGGCTTGGTGGCGAGGTGGTGGGAAGGTGCTTCAGCCGGCTCGATGGGGAGGTGGTGGGGAGGTGCTTCCGCCGGGTCGGTCGGGAAGTGGTGGGGAGGTGCTTCGGGTGGCTCGGTGGGGAGGTGGTGGGGAGGTTCTTCAGTAGGCTTAGTGGGGAGGTGCTTCGGCCAGCTCGATGGAGAGGTGGTGGGGAGGTGCTTCGGGCAGGTTGGTGGGGAGGTGGTGGCGAGATTCTTCGGTAGGCTCGGTGGGGAGGTGGTGGGGAGGTGCTTTGGCCGGCTCGGTGGGGAGGTGGTTGGGGAGGTGATGGGGAGGTGCTTTGGTCGGCTCTGTGGGGAGGTGCTTCGGCCGGGTCGGTGGAGAGGTGGTGGGGAGGTGCTTCGGTAGGCTTAGCAAGGAGGTGGTGGGGAGTGCCGTCTCAGTGCGGAGATGGTGGGGATTTGCTTCGGCCGGCTTGGTGGGGAGGTGCTTCGGCCGGCTCGGTGGGGAGGTGATGGGGAGGTGCTCCGGCCAGGTCGGTGGGTAGGTGCTTCGGTAGGCTCAGTGGGGAGGTGCTTCGGCCGGCTCGGTGGGGAGTTGGTGTGGAGGTGGTGGGGAGGTGCTTCGGTCCGCTCGGTGGGGAGGTGCTTCGGACGGGTTAGTGGAGAGGTCGTGGGGAGGTGTTTGGGCCGGCTCGGTGGCGAGGTGGTGGGGAGGTGCTTCGGGCGGCTCGATGGGGAGGTGGTGGGGAGGTGCTTCGGGCGGCTCGATGGGGAGGTGGTGGGGAGGTGCTTCGGCCGGGTCGGTGGGGAAGTGGTGGGGAGGTGCTTCGGTGTGACGCCCAACCTCACGCCCAGTGCGACTTCCTGATTGGAGTGGAGTGTGGTCCTGGAAGTGCGAAAAGGGGTGTGCCAAGGATTTTTGGGGGAAGTGTTGGAGTCTTAGGGGTATGGACACAATTAGGTGAACGTGCGGGGGGTACGCGCGCAAGGGCCTCACAGTCCGAAGGGGCCGGGACACTGCGGGCGACTGGTTACAGGAAAATTCCTCCATGGTGGAGATGGTCCTGAAAAGTGAGGCCCCTCGGGGGCCGCCACGTGGTGCAGGCTGCCGCGAAGTTTGGTTGGGCCTTCGGAGTTCCAGGGTTCTTTGTGCGCTGCAGCGTCGGCAGTTTACGCAAAACGTGTTGGGCCAATAGGGGGCTATGGCCGGCCACGGGACGACACTGAGTTGATGATACGGGAGAAGGAGGTGGAAAGGAGGGAAACTGGTGGTGATCTCAACGAATCCCTGGTGGGTGAAGTAGTAGGTGTGGTCGGGGGAAGGGAAATCGGAGCACCGAGGGTCGCTAGTAGTGGCAGAGTGGAATTCCCGCGGACATAGCCGATTCTCCGTGTGACAAGGGTATCGCGTCCTTATGAGCTCGTTTATTATAGGGGTGAAATAGTCCGGGTCATAGGACGAGTCTGAGCCCCAAGATCGCGTCATGGTATCATTGCAGATGGGATAGAGTGGGTCGGGGTATCGTCACCTCGCATGAGCGCGTGTAGGACAGGCCGACTTGGTGGCGCCTCAGCGTGCTCGTACGGGATGATGGTTCCGCCTATGATTCCTTTCAGGGTGAGCGAGTCGACGCACGGGAATGCGTGTACGGACGCGACTTGGATCGCGTTTACACGTGTTTTGGTGCGGCGCTCGCGGGTCCGGACTTCGGATCGCCTAATTGCTTCGTAAGTTTCGGCTATGCAAGATGCAACCATACCACAACCTCATCGTGGGACAAGC